GGCAGGAGACTGTGTAAGGCGTCCAGGCCACCCAATGCTCAGTGGGTAGGACGAGGTGGATGAAGAGAAAGGAAGAGAAGTAGAAGGGAGAGAAAAAGAACACGGACTTGGAAGGGCTAGGGAGACAATCCCACCGACTTGGCAGAATAATGGAGAAAACCCTGGCTAAGAAAAGGTGCCAGTACAAGGAAGTTGGTGGCTGCCGTGTGAGAGCGGTGCGGGGGAACACACGTAGACCCAGTAACCTCAGGACGCTGCTAATCAGTACTCCAATTACGCTACAGACCCGTTTACAGCCCATATGTGTTCACATGTGTTTGTGTCATGCTGGCCAAACATCCCAGGATCCAATGAGGAAAATGTGTAAATTTCCATTTGATACTTTCTGATGGTGACAAGGGAAACACCAAGTAACCAGGGAAAGAATTAAAACCCTAGGGAGCTTGTTAAGCAGTGAATATCCGCAAGTTAGGCCGCACAGCGCGCCAGTGGGCTAGCAAGTCAGACAGAGTCGCGGAGGCCTTGTCAGGGGCCCACTCAGTCTGGGATTCTGACTGTAGTTTCTGCCAAAGGTGAAGCAGTTTGAAACTGGCCGTGAGACAAAGAGGTTTAAATCATGTAGAAGTCAAATGGGGAACAACAGCAAAGGCTTCCATTTTGAAGCTGAAATAACTCCAAATCCTTCTCTTTCACTAAGGAGAGGACACGAACACCATGTCATTATTTTAGTTTACTGAGTTGCTGTTCCAAATGTTCTTGGGAGCATTAGTGCTAAAAGGGAACAGGGAATGGGAGATCTGCCATTTCCAATCACATAAAGGACAGAAATCCTTTTAATTATGACCATGCCAATCTACATCTTGCTAAAACAGCTAATTACATGTCAGGAGGACACTCAGTCATTCAGAACAATTGTCATTATATTTTTATATATTCATTCTGTGACACCCCCCTCAATTACCATGGTTACAATTTGAAAGGATTCAGGCAAACCTTCATTTGATCACAGCACACCAATGTGAATTTGAGAGTTAATTATGGATGTACAGAGCCACGTTCATTAAAAAGAGAAAATGCAAATGGAGTTAGGGGAGCGACACCCCGAGATGTCCGAACTGGGAGCCGAGCTATGAGCATACGCCCTCTTCAGGTCAACCTCGGCAACCAGTCACACTCCACAGCTGCCCCCGCCACCACACTGTGGGGCTCAGACACCCACAGGAGGGCACAGCACTGCTGTCCAACTCAATCCCCAAACTTGCCAAGTAAAAAGGATGTCAGGAAAGCAAGGCAAAGCCTCCTGCAGATGCCTCCTTGTTTGCTGTTAGGGCGCTGTGCTGGCTAAGGAGCTAACGGGCGTGGAATGTGGCGGTTAGTGGTCAGTGGTGTACAATGCAAGTTGGACTTCATGTGAATGGAATCGATTTAGTTCTACTCACTGCTTGGCCCCAGGTGTCACATGAAGTATGGTATAAAGAAAAAAGTCCAGTGATCTGCACATTTGTTACACATGGCGTCTACTATATCCTCAAGGTCCTCGGTGATGGTAAGAACAGGATGTAAGATCTTTTGGTGTGGCCAGAGTTTCCTTCTCTTCTCCACCATATCTACTTCCCTCTTAATTACAAAGGAAAACTAATGTTATAGGAAACCGGACTTCTCAGATCGTTAGCTTTCTCTTTGCTGCCGCTTCTCATCTCTGCCAAGAAAGAATAATGAAACTGATGTGGACACCTCACCGTTTATGAACTTCCAGCTTTTGAACATCCATCAATAGGAACAAAGTTGCACTTCAGAGTAAGCGAGTCAACCACTGATGGGTCCTCTAAGATGGCAAAAGCGGGAGCTTATCACTTTTAGCTTATAAGTAGAGAGAATTAAGAACAGTTTTTCTGAACATAACCCGGTTTGTGAGAGGAGTTTCTGTAATCAGAAAGGGACCTGTAGGTCTGATGTAGTTAAAAAGCCTTTCCCACCGCCCCAGTAGAGTAGTTCTCCTGAGAGTGGTAAAGAAATCTTTCCTCTTAAGTGACAGTCATCTTTTGAAAAGAAGAGCATATAATGAAGGAGACGGTGGTGCCGGAAAAGAAAGGGCCTCTGACAATAGGCTACGGTCAGGGAAATCTTCATGGGATAACCTGGCCGCTCAGAGTTGCCTCCCTGGGAAAATCTTGTGTTCTCATTATGGTGCAATATCTTCAAACTGGAAAACTTGGGTGTCATGAAGTAATGTAAAGTAGACAATCCGGAAATTAAGAAACAGGAAGAGGGTTTCCAGGGCATGCAGCTCAGTTAGCCAAATGCAATATGGCTGACAACTGATCCCTGAATCCTGAGTAAACATCCTTGCTATTTAGAGAGCACACAAAAAGGAATGTTTTAAATGTGTAATTCCCACCCCTGCCCCAGTGCATCCCCCCACTTCGCCCCTATCCCCCACACAGACGCCACCAGCAGAGCTGGTCAGTGCGCCCAACTTTCGCTTGGGAAATCCTGACAAACAAATCCGGCTCAGTAAAGCTATAAATGGATTTGGCTGGTCTCAATGCAGCCCCAATGAATACAGTAGTAAAACATTACTAATAATCACAACAACAAAATGACAAAATCTATCACCACTCTGACCTAAGATTTAAATCACGGACGGAGATTAACACAGAAAACCAACGCACAACGTGAAAGGTCAGGACTATTCAGTGTAGAGTGCTACTGAGCACAAGATCATCAATAACAAGAAAAATTATTGCCTAAGAATCTGTTGAGACTCATCGGGGAGAAAATACTCCGGTTGTTCTTTGAACAAGAAAAGACAAAAAGCAATTTTAAAAGGCAGAGCCACAACTTAAATGGGAAGACTGCTTCTACCCAAACCCTTCTTAAGACCAAGAGAGTAAGGACTTGAAGTTCACATTTTTAGGACAGGGGTGGGAGGATCGTATATGAAGAAGGGATTATTTCCACTGTTATGGGCAGAGATAGTGCAGCTGGTCAGTGGAATACGTAGCTGGTCAGAAGGATGGCCTGCAAGACAGGACGGAGTGTTTGTGTGAAGAGAGGACCACACCCACCTACTCTGCCTACTGTGGAACATAAAATCCCAGCACAGATGTCAGCTCAAGATGAGGCCTTAGTATTGGAAACCAAGAGGCAAATGGAGGAGGAACCATTCAAAGGAGGAGACAAAGCCACTGGAGATTCCTGAAGAAATGAGTCTATTTACACCTGGTACCTCTGTTTGGAATCCAGGAGTGAAGTTTGTGAAGACAAAGGCCAAACAGGGAGAACTGAAACAAGTGTATGAATGAGCTCTTCATGAGTTGTCCCCTTTGAGGTAAAAAATATATGGTGGATATCTGGCCCCAACAGTGGTACTGCTGGTCACCGGACTGCCTGCCATCCTAATCTACCAGGAACTGGGATACTGGATTTGCACACTTCAGTGGTGATGAGCTGCTTCCTCACTCACATCTCTTTAGGGGGTAACCTCTACTAAGCCAGAGTGAAAGGTACCTTAAAGGGGTCTTCCTGTTCAGGAACTTTCTTCCTGTGAAGGAATAACAGGAGAATGGGGGGCGGGGCTGTCCCACCCAAGGACAGGGTGCGGGAACTGGACAGATTCCCTAGATAAGTGGGAAGGTGACCACACTATCAACCACTTTAAAGGATTGAGACTGAAGAAAACTGCCGTAAGGCGTACTCAACAATTAATTACAAGCTTTGCTGAAATAAACCTGAAATAAACCAAAATGTCTATTTGGTACTGACAGCACCAGAAGGTATCAGCTAAGAGTGTACTGTACTGCCCTCCCTGGCCTTCATCTTGCATTAGGGTTATCAACAGCAAGGCAGAAGTCTCACTAGGATGGTCCATCTTTCAAAGGTCCCTTTAAGGCTGTGTTGTAAGAGGAGTAGGAAGCTTACCCATGTGACTACAGTAATTCAACAAAAGTGTCTTTTAAAAATAGTAACAGACAAGTTACAGGAACTGCTGACAAGGTTCCCCATCCTCCTCACCCCTTCAGTCTTCCTCACGAGGAAAGAGCAGTCCTGAAACAGTCCTCTGGGGCCCGAGGGAAGTACAGTATGGAGTAAGAGAAGAAGGACACAACAACCAAAAAGCACAGAACACGATTTTTTTAAGAGCCTGGCTCTTTCCCCTTCAGTAAGAGCGCAGTTTAGGGTTTCTATTTAAATATCACCAAACCTGAAAAAGCTTAAGAAAATAAATTCACTAGCCAAAGATATTACAAATCAGACAGTGGCAACTCCATATGCCATTGTAAGAACTAAGGGAGCCTGGACAAGACAGAATTCAACCTGGTGTCAAAAAACAAAACAAAACAAAACAGATCCCAAAACCAAAACAAATCAACCATGGTAGATTTAAATCTAGGCCCCAAAGACCTACATTTTCGCTCTTGGTGAAAAAGCAAAACTTATATGTAAGGCAGCGGGTCTTCAGAGCAGGCCAGCCGTCTTCTTCAATTGAAAGACGAATTCTGGATGAAAGCTTCCTTCCTCCTGTTCCTACTGAACCCAGGATGAGGCTATCCTGCATTGGTAGACATGTTCTTCCACTTTTTCCAGGTCGCCAGATAGGGCTCAGTGCTGCTTTCATAGATACTGACTCTCCTTGATTCACTGAAGCTTTTTTTCCTTTCTTAAGGCCTTAAAACAATGAAACCTTTTAGCTCTTCTCTGGCAATCACTGTATTTCTTTAGAAACTGCAGCTGTCTTAACAGTTTGAGTCTGTTTCTTTAAAAAGACCAGCAAGAACAAATGATACCAGCAATCCCATCATAAAGAAGCTATCAATTATAATAATCTCCTTACAATAAATCATGGATGTGGCTTGTCAGACAGTATAGTCTTCTCTCTTCTTTTCTTTCTGAGTCAACCGAGAATAAGCAGACAAAATTCCACCGAAATGGAAAGATACAATATGTTATATTTCTTCTACGTAATATAAAAGGAAAGAAAGATAACATAATCTCCTAATTAAAATAAAGTATCAAACACACCAAGAAAGAAAATGAGCAGAGGGATCATTCCTGAGAATAACAAATGCTACTCTTCAATTTGTTGGTTCAAGTAATACGGTAAAACAGAAAAGACTACCCCATTTTACTTCAGTTCTTGGAAGAAGCATATACATTTTCTGCCTGAAATCCACAACCAAGAGCAGGCCCGGTCCCTGCCCAAAGCTCCTTAAAGTCACAGACCCATATAAGGTGGCATCTTCATGCCCTCTCGAAGGCTTCCGCACACCGGCCCAAGCAGAATGAACGGATATGGAGAAGACCTTGTTCAGCATGTGCCTTAAATGGAGACAGACCAGCTAAAAACTGGTGGATATTTACTATTTCACTAATGAGGAAGGGAAAAACAAAGAAGGTCAGTCAGTTTCTCTCTCAATGGTTTTAGGCCGATAGGGGAGGAGAGGTGAAGAGGTAAGGAAATGGCACCTTTCTTCCACCTTAGAAATCGTTCTCAGGTAATGGACGACAAGACAGAAATCCTGGTTAACAGCCAGCCCCACATCCCCCTTTAAACAAGGCTTTAACGTGTGCAGAAAGGAGATGGAATGAGGCAGAAAATATACAGCAGGCATGCCTCCTTCAGACGCACCCTAAGCCGCTACATCGAAGGCGGTCTCCTCTTCCCCACAGTGACAGTGTGTCATTTAATCGGGATGCCAAGAGATCATTTTCATACAAGGCCAGCAGATGTAATTTTCTTTGATGCATGAATAGTTCATCATTTTGCTACTATATGACAAGGTGATCACAGGGTGACTTTATAACGCAAGTTCACTGTTTGGTATTTTGAGTTCTCAAAATGAAAAAAAGATTTATCAAATATAAATATCTTTAAAAAGTAACAAAAGTGCTACATATGTGATCAAGGAAAAAAATTCCATTAGTTACTGCCGCTTAAAGTAGATTAAACTTTACAAATATTACCACATCCATTATCAATATGGCTTCCAATTATTAAATAAATTGCCTGTAGCAATATAGCTTTTCACACCTCTACAAGGACAGAGTAAAGAGAACACCAAAGCAGTCACATCACGTTGTATCTCGAAGACCCACCGCGTAAGTGGCAACTGTCCCCTGCTTTTTTCTGCTCCTATTTAGGAAAGTATTTGCATTTGTGATAGCCAGCATAAAACCGCTCTAAAGTCCTCTATCAACCTCTCGTATTGAGGGGGCTTCAGTTAATGGATACAAAGACTGGAAGTTCATTCACTCATTTGTGACCTTAGCTCCATCCTTGAAAGACTTTTTTTGGTAGCAGGGAAAGGGGACACAGACAGGAGGCAGAGCAGCGTCCATGATGGCCTCCAGCACTCTTCCAGGCAGGCACACACCTGTGCCACGCAACGTACAGTGGTTCTGAGAACTGGACTTAACATCCATTAGACATTCAGCTCATGTTTTTTTCCAATGCTCTCAAGCTGGGTTTTTTTTTTTTAATGACTTTTGTTTTTTATCTTTTTGTTTGTCTGAATCATGGTCCCAAAGGCAGAAGGCAGTATTTTAACTACTAAGTCACACAGCTTGTGAGAGGAAAGGATGTCTGTGTCAGGCATGTTAACATCAACCAAAATTTGAGATCAAGTTTTTCCATGGACATTCTTAGCACAGCACCCAAAGAAGTATAATCTAGCCACAGTGTGACTATTATGAGGCACGGCTTATTGCAGCTGGAAATCAGTGATTCCCACGATGAGTGGGAATTCTAGTGTTCCTTTTACTCTGCGGATACTCCCCAAATGGTGTCTGTCAATCCTGGGCCACACAACCTCAGCTTGCATCCTATCAGTCTTGGGGAAGGAAAAGGGTACAGACTAGTGTTACAGAAATCTAAAGGTACCCAAGGTCTTACACGTAGCCTAATAGTGGAGAACCGAGGGCTATCTAAATACCTGGAAGCACTTTCTTGGAATGCTAAGACAGAGCAGCAAGGTTTTCTAGCCTCAGGGGCTGGGAGAGGGAAGTTTGGTTGGTTGGTTGGTTATAATTTACTGGGAATTAATACTGAGAGAGTATATGCAAAGGCTGAGGGCACCATGCCATCTTCACAGAACAAGACCCTAACGGCTAACTGACATACAAGAAACTGCAAGTTATACTGTAAGAACACATGTTAAGGACCGAGGAAAGTCTGCTAAGGTGCTACGTCTAAACTAAGTTAACTTCTCCTGTTCAACCCTCCCTGATCAGTCGTCATCCAGGGCCTCTGTCTTGATTTCGTTGGCTCCTTGTCGGGCCAATGCCAAGATAGTGTGGTTCACTGCTGCCATTTCCACAGCTAATGAGATGGGGTCTTGGTGGTCACTATGGCTAGTGCTGTCATCCTAGACATGCAGAAATAAGAAAGAAATGTTACTAGTGGATTGGCAAAATGCTCCAACTCACAGAAAGGCATGCTGTGGGCAAGGGGAGGCAGAACATTCGTGGGAGGAAACAGTGGGGGAGGGGCTCATGACACAGTAGAGGTGAAATGTATTTAAGTAGACATTGAATGGAAATAGGTCAGGCCTTCAATTGCCATTTTTAGGATTCAACAAATAAAGAGCACCAAAATGTTTTTTTCTTGCTGAGAACTTGATTCCTTCTATCAGAAAGACTGCTGGTGATGCTAATCAAATCTGAACAGTCTAGTTTGCAACAGACATAGCACTAGTCATTGAAGGCCGAACTAGTGAGCTACTCAATTCTGGACTGGTACTCTTACAAATAGATTCAGACCTCATCGTACTTCTCTACTGAACTGAGAAAACTAGACTAAACTACAGACACCAACATCTAATGGGTAAAAATGCATTTTATAAAAGAACGAAAAACCAAAAACCTCTCAATTACAGCAGGATAAAAGTATACCAGCCGGAAATGGCTATGGGAGACAATGTGTGGTGCTCTCCTGCTGTAAGGCTGCTGTGCCGAGCCAGTGGCAAGGGAGTGCGAAGCTCTCCTTTGGCGCACAGCTCAATGTGTTACACAAAAAGCTGTGAAGGAAACTGGCATTGCAGGATGTTTGTCAGGCCCTGAAGATGGTGTTACAAATAAGAGATAAGTTTCTCACCTGTCACATCTTCAGGGGAACTCTGCATCAAAGAGCTTTGGAAAGAGTAAGCTCCTTTTGAAAAAAAAAAAAAAAAAAATCATGGGATATGCTGCCCTTAGGGCATGTGGAAAAAAAACGGGGGAAATGACCCACCTACATTACATGGGTAGATTGAAAAAATAACAGGAATGTTCTTGGTTAGAAAGACAGAACATTTTCTTGAGTAAAATGTGGAGCTATGATTTAGAGTCCTAAAAAAGAGAAAAGGTAACTCCTGGGAATTATGGGCATCGTTGTTTCATTCCCATTTTCACAGACGGGGCTTTAGAGTTTAAAAGGGGGTTGCGTGCGCTCCTGCAGCGTCGGCGCTCAAGCTGGTAAGGAGAGGCTGTAAAATGGCCGGCAGAGGGAAGAACGTGGCAGATTACATTTAAGAGCTGGCTGAGGGGCCAGGAAGAGATGTTTATATACCATAGGAAAGAACAAGAGTTTCCCTGCTGGGGTCCAGAAGAGATCATACATCCTTTTCATATTCCAAACAGAAATTAATTTTAAATCCTATGGCAATTTTAATGAAATCTGTCAAGAGATATGTGGGGGGAAATTCCCACATTCTTGGTGACTGAATTATTCCATCCAGTGGCTACAATTAAATATATTTTCCCCCCCAAGCAATGAAGACTAAATCAGGGTGAGGTGAGAAGACATGCATTTATGACAGGATGTGTGTGTCAATGTGCCAGACACTCTGGAAGAACCACTCATCTGGGCATGAGGGTTCTCGCTGCAATGGGGCCGTGGTGGGTGGGACCTTCCACTGTGTGCTGCGTCGGGACATGTTTAGGCATGGATTACAGCTACCCAGTAGCCCCTAGTATTTCTCAAACATTGAGTGTGTGTGTGGTGGATGGTGTAACTTGCTTGTTTGGATCAGATCCTCCTCTCTTCTTCTACCTTCTCTGCTTCTCTGCCTCCCTCTGAACTTCTTCCCTCCTCCTCCTCCCCATTGCGTACTTGCCAAGTATCCTGTTGTATGACAATAAATCCATGTGGGTGAATAACAGTTTCTCACAAATTTAACAGGACAACTGAATCTTACCACATTCCTTTCAAATTACATGAAAATCTAACTACACACATGAGCAGAGTGGAGGGACACTGGATTGTCTCCTCTTCCCCACCCCGTACAAAACGCACCCACAGAATTGACTTGTCATACTGTCCCACCCGCTCTGTAACCAAGAAGCTCTGCTCTCTGCTGCTCACCTGCTCTGAGTAGTCATTCCCGTCAACATCATCACTGTTGGAATGGCCTCCTGGACTCTGTACATCTATCCCATGACTCTCCAGGATTGCTGCTTCTTCGAAAAAAGCAAATAGATCCCTAAATTATCTGTTACATTATTGGAACAGCTTGAACACTGAATTAATCTTTGTGCTGAGGAAATAAGGATGTCATTAAACAAGAACCTAGATTCCTGTGTGTTTTCTTAAATTGCAGATGGACAGAATTCAACTGCATCCAGGCCAGGGGAGGAACACGTCTGTCATTCTGGAGCCCCCCCTGCTATGAGAGCCACATGTGAGTGGTTGACTGTTAGGTGCTTCCTAAATACTTACCAACTAATTCAACAGCCCTCCTGTCTCAGGGTTCTGTAAAGTGTTTGAGAATTGTATTGATGGACAGGAAGTTAAATTTAGAAATGGAATACAATTTTAGAAGCTCAAAACCAATTCCTCACACTAATCTCGTCAATTCATATTTCTTAAATGCTCTTTTTAAAAATCCTTGTTTTGGGGCACCTGGGTGGCTCGATTGGTTAAACGCCTGCCTTCGGGTCAGGTCATGATCCTGGAGTTCTGGGATTGAGTCCCACATACTGGGCTCCCTGATCCGCAGGGAGCTTGCTCCTCCCTCTGACCCTCTCCTCTCTGGTGCTTTCTCTCTCTCACTCTCTCTCTCTCAAATAAGTAAAATCTTTAAAAAAAAAATCTGTGTTTTGCCCTGTTCCCTCTTAAGACTCTTTCATTCCAATTTTATTAAGCACATGTTTCTTAATATCTAAGTCACGGCCCAGTAACAACAAAGAAGCTCAGGGTCTCATTCCTGGCTCAATACCTTAGCCAGTAGCTTTAATATGTGGCACAGGAGTCATGCAGTCAGGGGCCATGTCTAATTCTAGATTCTAGACTATTAAGAACAATGATATTATTAGTATAATACAAACAGTGCTAATTAATATTAGTTCTTGAAAACACAAAGAAAAACACAAGAACAATTCTTGTGAGGCTTCAAAGTTAGCATCATTAAGACCTGCAGTCCTAACTGAAGGCGCTCTCAAAGCAAATAAAATGACTGCTTCGAAAGGGAAAGCAGCCTCTCTGATACATTACCAATATTGGCTCTCCTCTTGATCTCCTTCCGTCTGTTGGCAAACCAATTATATACTTTCAGGGAGGTAACTCGTTCCAGATCAGACAGTTTTTTGCCTGTGAATACATGCAATAACATTCAGAGAGTCTGCGGCTGAGACCAGTTTAAGGAAGAATACTTTTCTTTTTGAAAAGTTCTTTTGATTGCATTTATTGCCAATACAGATATAGGCTTTCTTGTTGTTGTTCAGTATTGTGTACACACTTAAACCATTACTGAATGAATAAAAACTAAAGAAATACAAAAATAGCAGGAACATAAAATATTTCAGAAAGCCACATAACACTAAAGAATTCCAGTACTATATGCAAAATTAATGAATTCCACAAAGTCAGGCTGCCAGGGTTCAAAGGTCATAGGATAGGCCGTGGAGGCTTCATTTAATTAGCATCATTATAGATGAGTATGTTAGGCTTCATCAAGTTTTCAGGTAGCTCAGGTTTACTTACATCTTTAAGGCCTTATATAAACGGTTTCCTGTTGTTACTTAACGTCCTTAAGGCCTTATATAAATTGTAGAGATCCCTCTACAGACAGCAGGAAACAACTGTCACCCATGTTTTCTTGAGGACTAAAGGTCACTCCGACATCCATTATTGTAACTATGCTAGAACGCATAGTCCAATTCAGATTGCATTTTAGATTCATTATCTTCCTTGCTGTCAAATGTGACTTCTTACAGATTAGCACCATGCTGGCCAACAAGGGCCCATCTGCTCCTTTCCTTCCTCCACTGGCCTTTTCTGTTTTAGCTTTTAATCCACAGTGGGTGGAGAAGCCAGAAAACAGGTTGAAGTGTTGATGATACAGGGCGAAGTGTTTTCCAGGAGGCTTCTGAGTTTTTGCACAGCCTCACGTGTGGGACTTTGGCTGCTGTAAAGTAAGAGGTAAGGGTATAGGTGCCATTGGAGGTGTGTCTGGAGGGTCTAGATTGCTAGAAGTCTGGCTTCTGGGTAAGGGGGAATAAACCACAGTTTAATTATGATAACACACTGATACTTTTTGTATACAGATGCTTTAAGCCAATCAAATTAACTGTCCAAATGAAGATCAATTGATCATCTTAACTGAGAATGATTTCTGGTAATGAAAACCGTGAAGTGTGGAACAATATTTTAACACGTGGAAGAAAAGTCATATGTGTGTTTAAGTGGCTCGGCAGACTTGCAGAACATTAGGACTTCAGAATGGAACTAGCCCAAGTTTTTCCCAGGTGTGTGCAGAAGTCATCCCAATGTGGGAAGGAGAAAGAAGCCAACTCTAATAAGAATTCTTTCTTTAAACAGGAATACAGAATTACAAAACTTGTTTAAAAAAAAAATCTAAATCTTTTCATTTACAAGCCTTGCTTAAATATTCCAAACTTGAAAATTATTTTGGAATCGACATAGTTATGCTATATTTTTGGAGGAAGAAATCTATACGGTCTTTAAAAATATAATTTCAAGGTCTCATATCTTAAGGAGGGATACTCCCTGGAAACTTTCCCTATGAATGTTTGATCTGGAGTACTGTAATTGCATCCCTAAGAAGTGCTGCTTGAACAAGACATGGCAGTGACTGGACAGGAAGGTAGTGAGGACGGAGCTAATGGCACCCAGCTGGAATGAGTAAAAGAAAATTTCCCGTTACAGATGACGATCTGAAGCGGAGGAAAGCGGCAGCCTGCCGCCTTACCTGGCTTCTGTATGACGGCGTTGCAAGCGTTGGCAATTTCTTCTCTCTTAGCTTCATCTGGATATTGATTCTCATTGAAGTAACTGCAGGGGCAACCAATTAAGACACAAAGTTTGTATTTTAAAAAATGTGCTCTCATTAGAACACTAGCCCACTGAAACATATACTCTTCTTTATGATGTAACTTTAGCGTCTGGTCCCGGGTGTCCAGTGGAATTCTCTGTGAGGATGGAAATGGTCTGGCCTTTACTCTCCGAGAGGGGAGCCACTGCTCACAGGCGGCTGCCGAACAGCTGAAATGATGCTGATGTGACTGAGGAAGTGAATTTGTGATTTAATTTTAGCAAATTTAAATTTAAATCGCTAAATGTGACCAGTGGCTACTATATTAGTGCAGTCCTAGTTACTGCTTTGCTTCACTGAAAGATGTCCTTGATACAAAAGTTGCTTGTGATACACATATGGTTGGCTGAAATCATGAAGTTCTATTACTGAGACACTGGTAACAACAGGACTTTTTTGTGTGTGTCATATTTTGTAGTGGCAAAAATTCTAAATGACCAAATTGTGCATCAATGGGAGAATGGTAGAACAAACTATGGGACATCTATATTTATACACGGCTATTTAAAAATGACTAGGAAAAAAAGAAGTTAGAGCTCTGTCCATTGACCTGGAGGGATGTTTACAGCATTCCTAAGTCAGAAAAACAGTCTGCAGAATAATGTGCATGGAAAATGCCATTATGGAATTTGAAAAATTCCTATGTGCACATAAATTTGCATGGGCAAATGCTGGAAGAGTAAACAACAGGCTGTAAATATCAATTACTTCAATGTTGGGGAAGGGGATTAGTGGGAGGAAATGTAAATATTTTTGCTTTTTTCCACGTTAAAAAAAGCACATATTCTATGCAATAATAGTACTTACAAGAAATTAGGTTTACAGAATTCCTCCTTAGCATTATCAGACCTATGAGACTCTATGTGGGAACAGAACATTTATTAGGGCTACTTTTTCTGTCAACTATGATTTTAAGAAAAAGGATCTACATGTTATGATCAGGAAATGATCCCTTGTCAGGTCCTATACCCTCCTGTTTTGTCTTCAGGGGCTTCCTTTCCCTTAGCATGCAGCTTTTCCTTTCCCTAACCCTCTGGTCTGCAATGGTGGAAATGCCATTGTGTCAGGAATAAACAACTGGAGGCTGAAAAGCCTTCCTGTGAAACCCCAAACCCCGACTCCTGACGCCACCACCCCGGCCCCCACTGCCTACAACCCCCTGATCTCCATGGAGCACATCCTTTGACAGAGCAGCTGCTGTCCCTGGGAAGCCTTTCCTTTGCTGAACTGTTAAGTCCTAGAACCAGATCATACCAGACCTGTCAACTACCAACCTCCACAGTGGCCTCCTGCTTGACTCCACGCTTTAAGCATCTCTTCCTACATGATTTTCTGTCATCTTTAGGGCTCTAGTGTTCATATTGAGCATTTTCCCAACGGACTGTCCCCACAACTGCTCCGCTTCCACATTCCTACTGCCCTTTACTCCACCTGTGCTGTTCACTTGGGCAAAGACATTCTGAATTAGTTTCACGAGCCTGCAATGCCGGCATCAACTGGAGGCTTGTTAGAAAGGTAGAACCACAGATCCCACCTCACGACTGAATCAGAATCTGAATTTTACAAGATTTCCAGGTGATCTGAATGCACATTAATATTGGAGAAGGACTGGATTACCACATTTATTTAAAGTTCCACAAAGACAACAAAAGCAGATATTAAGTACCTAACATTATACATTTGCACTGTGGGTAAAGAGGATTAGATAGTTTCTGACTTCAAGGAGTTTACAATCTACTGGAGAGACGCATACAAATCAACATGCTCGTGGTAAAATTTGTTAAGACGTCTGAAGACAGCACTGCTGGAGCACAGATGAAAGTGTGCTCAGTGTTGTTTGCAGGGTCCCAGAAGGATGTGACAGAGGAAGTGCCCTCTTGAGTTAGTCCTTGAAGACAGGCAGGAGTTTGCAAGGCAAAGAAGAGGAGGAAGAGCATTTCATGCAAGGGAACAGCATGTGCAAAAGCCAACGGTAGACAGAAGCCTTGAGGATTCTGACCACAGAGAAGAGTGGTTGGAATATGGTGTTCACAGGAAGAAATGAGATACTAGCCTGGAAAAGCAGGATGGGGCCGGCTTGTGAAGAGCTTGCCTGTTCTTGTCAGTAGTAAAGACATCATGGTGAAACAGAGGTTTTCAGGCCCCATCGAGATAGGTGTACACCCATCTGTGTTTTAGAAAGATTACACATCTTCAAGACTCAACCTTCTAACTTCTACCTCCATTATCTTAATTCTGAAATGCCCCCACTCAACTTTCTCCTTACTACTCCTCCTCTTCAGAATAATTTTTCCTTTACCTTCTTTATAATCTCGAATCCTTTTAAAACGCTCCCCCTCCAACTTAAAAAACATCTGTTTATCTATTTTTCCGGCCTCACCTTTTATTTCTTAGCCTGAACTTCACGGCAAGCCAAATCAACAATATTCCTTAGGAGAAACTTATTTAGCTTCTCTGTCCTTCCACCGTGCCTGTCCAGCCAATCTCCTACCCTGCAGAAAGCACCTTCCACATGTTCTCTTCCATCCTTCTCTCCAAGTGTTCCTGGACAAAGTCATAAAATAGGGCCAATTGGTTTCTTTGTAAGTCTGTGGTTTTCAGCCTTAACCAGGCCCTCATTTCGGATGGGAACTTTTTTCTGTTTTTAATACTCCATCTTTCATGTTCCACTTACCTGAAGGCTTTTCACTCTTAGGTCCCAAGTGCTCAAACCCACCAGTCATTCTTTTTACAAATGACCTTGCCTCCTCTTTTACCAAGAGGGAGGTTATTTGATGTAAGTTTGTGTGATGTTTTTAGCTTCTCGACCTCTCAACTTCTGAGTCATTGTTCACTTTTTCATCTCCTGGTGGAGGAAGATACACTCTCCTCTCCAAGGTCTACTACTCCACTTGTATCTCTGATCTCATCCACCCTCCTTTGTTTTCTCAGCTCTCTCCTGTCTTTCTTGCATGTCCCATCTTTTCCCTGTACCTATGCAATGATGCTATTTCACAGATTTTGTGACGTACATTTATTATTATAATCCCTAAAATCAAGATGTATCTTATAATTGGTGGTGTCTGAAAATTAACTGGCAGTGGTTTTTGTTTTTTTGTCTCCCATCACTGGTACATAAAATCAAGGTGTGTCTTATAATCAAGGCCTTTTCAGATCTGATAGAACATGGCTGTTGTTAAGACCTACAGGTCCTATGTCAGCAGCAGCTCTAGGGCCACTGTACCTCATTATAGCAACTCTTCTTCCAAATTACTGCAAAGCCAGTAACCGACACCCCATCCACCCCTTCTAATGTCTGCTTAATAACCCTAGTGTACATTTCTAGTCATGGGCACTATCCTGTTAAAAATTTTTAAAAGTTTATTATAGAGGTGTTCAGAGTTCTCCTCTAAACTACCTTTGCTTCTTTTTCTGTGGCTACTACCATATATGCATGCTTCAGTCTAGGAAAATGGAATAGCCTTGTAAACTCCTGGTATCTCTGTGCCTTTCTCCTGCCAGTATATCTGCTTCTTGCCTCCCTCCAACCTAAATTTTGTCTTTCAGGATATAGGTTGAGTATCAGCTCTTGGCCAAAGGTAAATATCAATCCCATGAATCTCACAGCACTCAATCTGTTCCTCTCTCACATTTTTTTTCACCTTGTATTATAGTTATCACTGTGTACCTCTCTCCCCTACTATGCTGAAAGCCACCTCAGGTACAAGTCTGACTCATGCTTCCTTATATGCACCCCCACTGATGGCAGTGCTGACAAGTCAATAATGATGAACAAAGTGTCCACCAACCCAGCGTAGGGGTCTCCAAAAGAAATAATAAGTAACACTGTACATGGACTGCTGAAAGTCAGGGATATAGAGTTATTTTAAGAGGGTCTCAAAAGATACACACTAAAGAAATGCCTGTCTCTTGAGAGCAAGAATACTGGGGCTGGATAGAAGACAGGGAAGTACTGGTGATAACTGAGATCGGTTTTCACAGTCTGTTTTATGTGTTTCTCTGTTGAGTTTCTGAAATGAATATAGGCTATTTTTATAAATTTTTAATAAAAACTTTGGGAAAATACTGAAACAATTAAACACTAGTTTAATGATTAATACTCCATAAACAATATATGTTTATAAAGTGTATTTGGATCAGCTAGAAAATACTAGGATTGTGACTGCTATTCTAATGATTAGTAGGATAAAGTCACAATATTTTGGGAAGTTAAGTTAGAATTTGCAGTTATTCGCTGTACGTATAACTTAATGAATTAAGAAGTCTTAAAAATCATTTTTACTGTATATTTCTAGGATACAGTTATATAAAATACAGATGATCAGCATAAAAATAAATCAGTATCTCCTTCCAAATCAAGGAATATAAGAATTCACTACACTTCTATATCTCTAAGCCTGACAATTAATCCTTTCTTCTCTGTTAGGACCTATTATTTTCATAATTAAGAAATGTAGGACTATTCAAAGCATAAAATTTCAGTAAAATGCACTACTACAACTGGAGGTATGTATGCTGGACTACTGAGTCCACTTTCATCTTTTTGTGTTTCTGTAGTGATTCAATGTTTGAAAAACACAAATTCAAGGGAGACTGTATAATCTAAACTGATAAGATAATATACTTTAAGATACCCCATGATAAACATTTAAGTTTAAGATGTAATAATTAAAAATATTCATTGCAAAGCTCTTAAAACCTCCCCAGCCCAAGTGGGAACAGACACACAATACCAACATAAAGAGGAAGAGTTTTTAGGAAAGACAAAAGTAGGCCAGGAAATAAAATATTCAGCAAAAATGTTACATGAGTATACTTGTGGAGTAGATATAAGTTCAAATATAAGCCCTGATCTTAAGAACATGTGGTTCAGCTGAGGAGGAATATATAAAAAAAGTTAAGCTGTAGAAGGAGTCAAAACAACAGTCAAAACAGTAACATAACAGACAAACCAGAATAT